CACAGAGACAGACGAGCCGCACCAGAATGGGGTGGCAGAGCGAGCCAACCGGACGATTTCTGAGGGTGCTACTGCCCTCCTAGCGCAATCCAAGCTCCCTCCTTCGTTCTGGGTGCACGCCGTCTCTACCTTTGTCCACACACGAAATCGCATGCCCACATCTGCTCTAGACGGCGGCATACCCTACACAGCATGGAAGGGCGATGGGAGGAAGTCAGATGTGTCCTACTTTCGAGTTTTTGGCTCTCTGGCCTATGTTCTGGTGCGCAAGAAGGATCGCAAAGTGCTGCAGTCTCACACTCGCAAGTGCATCTTCATTGGGTACCCAGATGGCACCAAGGCCTAGCGATTTTGGGACCCTGCAGCGAGGAAGGTGCTCATCTCGTCGCATGCAGTGTTCAATGAGAGCTGCTTCCCTGGAAACTCGCCCTTCATCAATGTCTTTGGCCTTCCCCTGGACGATGTGGATGTCCCTGGTGCACCAGACGATGAGGATGCGGACTCTGCGCCCCAGGACAATGTCCCTGTTGGCTGCAGTGGGCCTCAGAGGGGTCACAATGGCCTAAGTCGAGCTCTGTAAGTCTTTTCATTGCAAGGAAACTGTGCTACACACCTAAGTCGAGCTCTGTAAGTCTTAAGGACTGCAGAGTCAACTCAGGCGCAGATGACGGCGCACAGATCGCGTGGGAACTAGCTAACACAACCATACACTACGTGGCGCTGGAATGGCGCCAAATGGACCAGAAGTGCATAAGGTAGACACTATTCTAGAGTGCAGTCAGATCTATAGAAATGGAGACTACTAGTGAAAGAAATGCGATATCTCTATGTAAACCAGAGTTGTGACTATATGAAAATTACCATAGGTAGAGGACAGCGCGAACTAGGCATGGCGCGATGCAGGACTTGGTGCGATTAAAACCGCCGGCGCTACAGCACCGACTCCAACACCAGCTCTTGATTCCAGTGTTTGGACTGACTGTCAGTCTGAGGATGGTATGCCGTAGATAGCGCGCTCTCAATACCAAGGCCCTTGAGGACCACGCAGAATAACTTGCTCGAGAATTGCAGTCCCCAGTCAGAGATGATCTTCCATAAGACTCCATGCAGCCGGACATGATCGCGAATGAGGTGCTATGCAGCTCCTTCGGCATCAACTTCCTCATCTGTCACAGCGAAGTGTACCATTTTGCTGTGCCTGTCCACCATGACCTGAATGTTGTTGTACTCGACTCTGGCCACCGTGACTTTGAGAAGCCCGACGATGAAGTCCGTGGTCATGACATGCATTGGACCATCTGGGATCTCGTTGGGCTGTAGCAGTCCGTAGGGTTTCGTGCGTGACGTCTTCCCCCAGTGACAGGTGTCACAAGTGCAAACGTAGTCCTTCACGAACTGAGCCATGCCATACCCATCTGGAAAAACAGCCTTTGCGAATTGACACTAATTATCACTATTCAGATAATCTCATCTATATTAGAAAGTGCTAGCAAAAATAACATCTACATTAGTACTACTTGTCACGGACGTTGCATAGGCGCCCCTTTTTGCCGCCCATTCCCTTCCCTTTGACGCCCACCTTCCATTTTCGGACCATTTCCTTTCCTAGCCCATCTCAGTTTCGACACTGTAGATATGTTCCCACAGCCGCATGCTACGTTCCCGTGATCGTCATGCCCTTTCCTTTTCTTTCTCACCCTTTCTTCTCTCTTTGTCATCTTCACTGCCTCGCTCTCGCGCCTTGTCCTTGGTTGCTAAGCAGCCCCTCTAGTATATAAGGACCCCCTTAGGCACTCCCTAGTCCCCATCTCGACCTTTTGGTCATTGGGACTAGGTGAGTGGCCATAGCATTGTATTTCTCTTTGAGTGCTAATGTATAACTTGGTCATTGAGACTAGTCTGTCGCTGTCTGCGGGAAGACTAGCTTTTGTAGGTCTTGTGCCTTCGTGCCGACCTCCGCTCTGCCCCGTCAAGTTTCTTGTTGCGTTTATTCCTCTCCCTCTCTCTCTTTTCTCTTTCGGCTCCTTGCCGCTCGCCTACGGGATCGTCGCTGAAGGTCGACCCGAGTCTACGCGCGTAGTCGCCGCGACACTACTGTTCAGGCACACTTTTTCAGTAATGCAACTAAGCACTGATTAGCATGCTTGGTACTAGTTATAACTACTCTTCACTATCACTTTTTTGATAGTGTCACTTAGTGCCAACATGATACTACTATAGCACTACTGCAAATGTGGTCCTCTAATTTTCGCTATTTTGCACTATTTTAGCACTACTTATTTAGGGAAGACTCAAATAAGATGACAATCCTTTATTTGTAGCTTACAGTTCTCAACTAAAGCATTACACACCCCTATAGCTGCAAAATCACCATAATAGCTGACTTATATTTGAGGGCACAATTTAACACAGAACTTGTTGTCATGTATAGGATTAGGCTGCCAGCACAGCATTCATATCATGAAGCATACTCTATAGCACATTCTATATTATATATATAGCCCCAGACAACATACATATATAAGCCTCAATAGGTGGAACTCAAAGTGAGGTGTCACCACTTTGCCCAAGTCCAGTGGTGATGGATATATATAGCACTTGTACAGAGGACCTATGTAAGCTCTGATGGTGCAGTGGTATAGAGCACCACCTTGGAATAGGGGTGTTGGGTGAAGGTAAGGTTGAGGGTTTCAGACTGGCTAAGAATGCTTTTTAAAATTATTGTTTCTAGCACTTTGAATGCATCTAGGGCTTATAAACAGATGGTTTTGAGGTCGTATAAACCATTTCTACACTAGTCAGCAATCATAGACCCACTCTATCCACAGCTATCAATGTCTACTGTAGTACTATTTCCGTCTACTACAGTGCTACTTTGCGCTAATTTGCATTATTAGTGCAAAATAGTGCAATTATATTTGGGGACCTCTCGATTTTGCACTATTTGTCACTATCCAACTACTGTGTCTATTAAGAGCTAATTTGTACTGAATAGGTGTAATTTGCAAAGGTGGTTTTTACAGATGTGCCCCAGTACTGGAGGAGATCCTGTTTGAGGTTCCAATTGACCAAGTCATTTTGCAGTGCGGCTAGCCCAAGCTTCTTTACGTGCTTCAAAGCTTCGACAACCGTGGGCTCAAAGTTCTGACATTCTCAGATCCGCTTCAGGAGCGCTTTGTCTGGTACAACCGCAAGATGTCCTTGTCGACTAGCCAGGATACAGAACTGTTTGGGGTGCAATATGGTTCAGGCCAGGTTGTCTTCAAGAGTGTGTCTGCACGTCCATTAGAAACACCAGACTTGTGGGTGATGACGAAGTCAAACCGCAATAGGTACAAGGCCCACCGTGCTTGCCTGCGAGTGAGGTTCTGCGCCGTTCTCCAGTACTCAAGGTTCTTATGGTTGGACTCAATCTCGAACTGGGACGGGAGACCCTCGAGGTAGTGACGCCAGGCCTGCAAGGCACGAATGATCGCCAGCATCTCCTTGTTGTAGATCCCGTAGTTCTGTTCAGCGTCGTTCATGGACTCTGAGTGGTACGCAATCGGGTGGAACTTCCCATCCTTGCCTTCCTGAGACAGGACTGCACCAGTAGCATATCCAGAGGCGTCAACCTCGACTTGTGTTTTCCGCTCCAGATCATAGATGCAGAGGACCAGGCTTTCACAGAACTGTTGTTTGATCTTGTCAAACGCGTGTTGCTCCTCTTCGCCCCACTGCCAGGGGTCGTTGCCAGTGAGTCGGTC